TCCCTTTCTCATTGTCCCCCACCCTTCATCGAGTAGCAGCAGAGGCTATGGCCAACACTCTCCCACACAACCCACTCGCGCTCACACTCACACCCGTGTTGGTCATAGACCCCGCTAATACCGATCAGGGGTATCCAGAGGATAATGGACTCCTCGGTTTTCCCAAAAAGAAAAGAAAAAATCTGGCTCCGTGAGTGAGTGACAACTGTTCAGGGCATACTCACACGGGTAGGACTCTTTCGATTGAGTTTCTAGACGTGATTGCGGCCGGATGCATCCAGGCGTGGGCGTAATTGCGGTGAGAAGATTCAGGAGAGTGGTCGAGTGAGTATGCCCTCAATCATTTTTTTTTTTGCGTTAGCCGGACCCCCACCGGCGGCCCCACCCCATCTCTGACTACCGCTGTTGGGCCAGGGGGCAACATGATTTACCTCGTTTGCGAGGCCCTGGGTGCGGAAAATCGCGATAGATCTGCTTTTCCGAATCTATGCGTAAAGAACATCCAGATTCAGTCAAACACTTAATCCAATACTCTTTGTTAACGGGACCTGGCCCCCGGTCCCTTTGGCGTGGCGTGGGCGAAGGTCGTCGACGTCGCGCGCTTGGACAAACACTGGCGCAGTATAGGAGTAGGGGGGTTTTGTGGGGGGGAGGGGGGGTGATCAGGAGTGTGTGTGGAAGGGGGAGAGAGAGAGAGAGAGTTTAGGTGGCGTCCGCGAACGCGAGAGCGAGCGAGCGAGCGAGCGAGAGAGAGAGAGGGGAAAATTTCCAGAAGGTACGAGAGTCTGCATTACCTGTTCTTCTTTTTTTTTGTCTTTTGGGCGTTTTTTTTTTTTTTTTTCCCATCCCTTCCTCAAGGTGCTTTTTTTGTGTTTTGGGCTTTTTTTTTGTTTTTTTCCCCATCCCTTCCTCAAGGTGTAGCGCCTTGTTCCACTGCTAGCCAAGTCGTTAAATCGGCGAGTGTATCTTGTGCTAGAACGTGGGAAGATACGGTCAGTATTTTCACATGTAGAGAGTGGTTGAACGAGAGCCGTATGTTTCGTCTTTCTCATTTTTTGCCCTCTTTTCCCCCCTCTTTTTTAATTTATTTATTTTTCTTCTTTTTTTGGCGATCATGCAGGCATCGCAAGCATGTTTCCTTTTTTTTTTTTTTTTTCTGTGCTACTCTGCCTCCTTCACGATGTCTCTCTTCTCCTCCTTTTTCTTCAATTATTTTATGTACTTTTATAAATTTACATATTTATTTTTTTATTTTTGTTCTGCTCCTTTTTCTTTTGGTCGGTCATCCATGTTCATCTCCTGCGCTTCTCCTTTGTCGTTTTTCCAAGACACATTACCTTTCTTTCTTTCTTTTTTTTTTTTTTTTTTTTTTTTTAATTTGAAGTATCTGCTCGTCGACGATACTCTGCACATCTCATCGCTTCCGTCGTCTTGCCTTTTCGTTCGCTTGCTGATATCGTCGTCCTCCTCCTCGTCCTATCTTCCTCTTCTTCCTCTTCCTCTTTCCTCCTCCTTCTCCTCCTCCTCCTCCTTTTCCTCCTCCCCCCTTTCTTTCTTCCTCTTCCTCTTCTTCCTCCTCTTCCTGAGTCACTCCTCCTCCTCCTCCTCCTCCTCCTCCTCCTCCGTTTTTTCCTCCTTTTTTTCCTCCCCCTCCTCTTCTTCTTCCCTCCTCCCTCTCCTCCTCGTCCTCTTCCTCTTCTTCCTCCTCTTCCTTTGTCCTCCTCTTCTTTCTCCTCCTCCTCTTCTTCTTCCCTCCTCCTCCTCCTCCTCTCCTCCTCCCCGTCCTCTCCCTCTTTCCTTTCCTCTTTCCTTTCCTCCTCTTTTTCTTCCTCCTCCCCCCTCTCCTCTCTTCCTCTTCCTCCTTTTTTTATTCCCTCTTGTTCAGTCGGTGATTGCCCGGATGGTTCCTGTATCTGGTCGCATTTACGTACATTTCTGTCGGTGATGTGAAGAGAAGACAATTATGATAACTAAGGGAAATGAAAACCTGTTGCAACTCTGCCACAGCAGTAAATGCGCGCAATGTGTACAGGGGAGAGAGAGAGAGAGAGAGAGAGAGAGAGAGAGAGAGAGAGAGAGAGAGAGAGAGAGAGAGAGAGAGAGAGAGAGAGAGAGAGAGAGAGAGAGAGAGAGAGAGAGAGAGAGGAGGAGGAGGAAGAAGAGAAGAAGAAGAAGAAGAATAGGGACAAACAAAGAGGACATAGGCTGTCTGTCTTGCACGCTTCGTCAGAAAATTCCATGTACATCCGCACGCACTATGCTCAGAAGAAACGCGCTCATTGCCCTACGCACGTCTCGGCCACGCAGCGCCCCTGGCACTCATTAGGGGCCTTCTGCCAGATCCGCCGCTGAGCAGGAGGGAGGGGAGGAGGAGGAGGGAAGAAGAAGAGTAGGAGGAGAGGAGGAAGATGGAAGGAGAAGAAAGGGAGGAAGAGGAGGAGGATAGGAAGAGGAGGAGGAGGAGGAGGGAGGAGAGAGGAAGAAGAATCAGAGGGGCCGGAGGAGTAGGAAGGAAGAAGGCGAGGAGGAGGAGGAAGAGGGAGAGGTGTGTACTGTGCCACCCAGACTGAAATGTCGCTGACGGCCTTTTGCGATGATGATTATCGTCTTCAGAACGCCCGTAATTATCCCTGTATCTAGACTGAAATTTGCCCCAAATACGGTTATCATGACCGGGCGCTCTGTTCTGGTGAAGACGGTAGTGGTGCTGATGATGATTGAACCGACAATGGAGAAATGGCGATGACGATGACGATGACGATGACGATGGCGATGACGATGACGATGGCGATGGCGATGGCGATGGCGATGAGGATGGAGGATGGAGAGGAGGACGGCGATTGCGATGACGATGACGATGGCGATGAGAACGGAGAGGAGGAAGAAGAAGTTGAAAAAAAAAAAAAGGGAAGGATAAGGAGAGGACGTGCGGTTGTTGTGGGCCTACCTCCACTGCACAACGCTAAACATCTATGTGGATAGAGTTAGAAGAGCAGATACATTTGGACTGATCCAACATTTCGAATGTATCGGACCATATTTAGTCTCCAGATGCATGTGGAGTGCTGTGTAGTGGAGCGAGGTCCCGTATGTCGGACAACGTGAACAATGGATGGGTGTCGCTCGACTACGCAAGTCTAAAACATGTATCTGGACTGTTTGTAGACCAAACACACTCGGAATGATCCGACATTCTGAATGTATCGGGACCACGTTCAAGTCCAGACACATTTGAAGTGTTGTGCAGTGGAGCGAGGCCCGCCCGATCTGTGTGTCCTCCTCCTCTCACCCATCCTGCTGAATGTATCGGGACCACGATCAGCTCCTGGTACTGCCACCCCCCCTCCTCCTCCTCCTCCTCCTCCTCCTCCTCCTCCTCCTCCCACTGCTGCCACGATCGCCATCGCCACCGGCTGCACCACGTGGAATTGCGTCTGCAATTATGTATCTAGACTGGAAGTTGGACCAAATACAGCTATACTGACCGTGCCTTCTGTTCGGGGGAAGACAGTAGGGCCAATTAATTATGGCGGGAAAGCAGTTGAGAACCAGGAGTGCCTCGCCTTCCCCCAACCCGCCCCCTTCTGCCCACTTCTCCCCCCTTCCCTACCTCCCATCCCACCTTCTTTCCCCCTCCTCGGCCTCCCTTCCACCCTTCTCTCTCCCCCCTTCTCCCCATCCTTTTCCCCCTCCCCCCTTCTCCCCCGTCAAGGTCCCTACAAATTTGG